TATTTGGTAAAGTGATAACCATAGCGGGAAATGTAACAACTCATGAAATGTTCAAAAAACATAATGATTTTAGTTTTTTCAAAGCCAGTGAAGAGGTAATTGAACCATCTTTAAGAAACACAATAATCTTTCGGATATTATATTATCATACATTTTAAATCATTCATTCAATTTTAAAAAATAGAAACTACAGTTAGATCGCATGTTTGTTGGTCATAATTTCGAGAAAAATACTAGAATAGTAAGAGTTTGTTTCCTAGGAAAATTAAAACCTTTTAGAAGTAGGTTACAAAAAAATATCAATAAGGCTATAGATATTTATATTGGTGAATGCGTTGGTAAGATTTTAAGCTTTAAATTACAAGTTTTTTTTATATGAGATTTTAAAAAAGTTTCATTTATTATTAGAACCGAAGATTATTTGTGACCCATATAAAACTATAATCGATATTATGGCATTCCGGTTGCTAACCTGTTGATTGATGATGTATGTTATATATATTTACATATTTACATAAAAACCCCGTTATTAACTTAATTACTCTTATAATTATTACTCTTTTTAAAAAAAAAAATTAGGATTATTGTAATAATGAGGATATGTTAGAGGTGGTTAGAAGCGTAACTTATTCATTGGCTAAACTTGCTTTGGTGCCACCAATATTATCTTTTATACATCCTTGGCTTCATAAACAATTTATTTCGTAGGTTAATTTTTATTTGAACAAAGTTTAGAATTCAGTTATTTCACATAACAATAAATTTAACCGTAAATTTGTTTATTTCATTATTGCTCAACAGAATTCCTTTAAGACTTGGTTGGAGACCGATTTCAAAACAAAGTAATGTAATTCTTAGTCGTATTAAACCGGTCATAGAAAAGCGTCTTTATGATAAAAAGAGATTAGGAGATGCTTGGGTTGCTCCAGTAAGTTATATAATATATATATATATATATATATATAATCACTTGAATATTTAAATTATTTACCTATTTTTTAATTTTAAAAAAAAAGTTAGATGTATTACAATACTTATTAGATGACCCTGAAATAACTCCTGATTTCAATCCAGATAATGTAAATTATAAGTATATTGTTGATACGATCATTGGTCTTATTTTGGCTATAATGTCAAATATGTCTGATGGTGCTTCCTGCGCTTTATATGGTTAGTTAGTTATATTCTGTTTTTTCATTATAAAATACTTTGGGATTTATTTTAATTATATTTTCATTTAAATATTAGATTTAGTAGAAAGGAATCAACGTTATTTGCATGAATTATGTCAGGAAGCTCAGGAAATTAGTAAACAATCTAATGGAAATGAACTTACATTTGATGATTTGCATAAAATGATGAAATTGGATAGTTTTATTAAAGAATCTTTAAGGATATCTGGTAGTTTTATAGTTGGCGTGGAGCACAAATGTATCTCTAAATCTTACTATACGTTTATAAATAGATATCAAGTCCCAAATGGTAATTTTTGATTGTTATTCTCTTAATTTTCAATAATAATAATTTTCTAATTGATCAAAATCATAGGTCGCACAGTGTACTTAAACTTTACTGAAACAAATCATAATGAAGGACTTCAAGGTCAAAATCCTACAGAATTCAATGCATACCGCCATCTGGAACGTAATTCTTCTGCGACAAAACTTGAGCGCAACTTTTTGACGTTTGGAGGTGGAAAACATGCGTGTCCGGGCAGATTTTTGGCCATTGATGTGACAAAAATAATTTTACATAATATTATGTTAAAATATAACATTAGAACTGAAACTGGGGTGATTGACTCTAAAAGAAAATATTTTGGACCTTTTCCCATGCGAATAAAAGGTAACATTGTGTTTGAAAATAGGAAGGAAATTATAACTTAAGATTTATACAGATTACGTGACTTTAAATTTTGTGCAACTCAACACATATTTGTGGGAAAGCCAAATTTCAATACAGTCAAACCTTCGTATAGTCACCTCCAATATAAGCATATTTTTTTTATAAACTTTATTTTTTAAAAAAGCAATCCATTATTAAATAACAAAATTGATCTCTATAATTAGCACACTTCTCTATAATCACGCTTTTTTGTATCCCGTGGGTGACTATAGAGATGTTTACGTGGTTATAATAAATATTTGGCTATATTTGGAAGTTTTGAATTTTTTTAATTTTTCAAAGTTTTTAACTATTTTTAACTAGGGGTAATTTAACCACTTCTATTTTTTTTAGGGTTAGAGTACAATTTTAATATGAAATAGAGGTTTATATAACATAATAAAAGTTTAATATAAAAGTTTAAATTTTGTTACACGTAAGGTTTTTGGGGTTTTGAACAGTTTTACTTAGAACCCCTAAATTTAATTACTTATTACGTTTTTGAGATATAGCACCCGGGTGATTTAACCAGGTGGCAAGTTAGCAATAGTCATTTCAATTTTCAATTTCAAATTTTCAAATTTAATTTTCAAATTTTCAAAAAAAATTTGCAGTTTTGGCCCACATAGAACACTGTATAATGATTGATTAGAAATCGATTTAACATTACACTGATCAGAAAACATTATGTAAATGCTATTCTTATGTTCTTGCTCTTGCTTTCGCACTTGCGTAAGCTCTTGCACTTGCAATTGTTCAGTAGAATAAAACTTGATTAATATGATTAATAAAGAATAGTAAATAGCCAATAAAAATAAAGAAAAATAAATGCTTATATATAGTTTTAGATGATTCGAGTAGAACATAAGAATTGTTTCACGTATAAAGGTTTTGTTATTTAACGCATATAGAATAAATCATTTTTCACTAACATATTCACTTTCATCGAAGTTACTACGCCACATATTATGCGAACTGGGTGTGCTCTTTTTTTCGATACAGCAAAGCTAATCGTTCTACAAGTTTTGACGCAATTATTCGTACATAAAAATTTTTACATTAAACAAAATTAGATATAGATTTTCACAATCAAATATTCGAATTTGTGTACCGACAATCAATTCTTTTAAAGCCCCTTTTTCATTACCGTAAAAACCAATAAATTTATAAAATTTCCTCATATATTCGTCACATTAACCAAATTTATAACCAAAGGATTTAAGTCTTCCAAAGCCTTCTATTTAAAGATATTTAATTTTGCCCGAACCTTTTTACTGTCGTGTAATCAGAGTTTAAAATCTATATGCGGAATCTGCGGTGCGCAGATTGAAAATTAATTCCGCGAGTAAAAATTTTCTTTGAATATGCGGATTTTATTGTGTCATACATTTCACACATCTTTTTTTTTTTATTATGTTTACAAAAATTGTCAAGCTTTCCACACATTGAAACAAAATCGAATTTTAAACATGCAGTAATGAATTTTCCGTTATGTGCTTATGTAGTGTAAATTATCTTTACTATCTACAGACTGCTTACAGTAATTTGAACAGTACTACGTATACCGTGTATATGATCACATGTTCATAAAATGTACAGGACACACGCGACGGACGTTAATATTATTATAAGAGGTATATATATATATACGTATATATGTGTACGAGTTGCTAGGTCAGATTTTTTTTATGTTATGAAAACCAAAAAAAAATTGATGTGGTCTAATTAATACAGTAATATTATTAAATTTTGTTTACTACTGTCAAAATATAAAATGTATTATTTATTACATTATAATGTGTGATTATAAATTTTGTTACATGTTATACGTTTTTATCATCAGGTATTTCTCTGCGTTCTTTAACTTTCTTGATACATTCTAATTCTTTAACTTTCTTGATACATTCTAATTCCTCAATGCAGACATTATTTATGTCCATATCTTCAATGTCCATCATGAATTTTGCGTCATCCCAAATCTCTTCACAAAATTCTTCAAGTGTCAGATCACTGGCATCTATGCCAAACGGATTTTCAATTTCTTTTGCGATCTCAATAACTCCAAATAAGAAGAGAGTAGACAAAAATATTATAGGAACTGTTAACCATTGGAGATCAGAAACTATTTGAAACGAAAGACTCAAACTGAAAATCCAAGTCGTTACGGAGAGAAGTGTAGAATATGCAAAAGGCATTGGAGAACTATCAATCCTTTCTAAGCCTGACAAACATTCTGTAAGGGTGACTATCCCTCCGCTTAGTTTGTCATAATTAACTTTATTGGCTTTATCTTCTTTTTTTTCTTCTTCTTTTTCTTTTTCATAAATAAATAAATTAAGTTTTAAAATAATCTTGTGTAATTTTCTTCGAAAATTACGAAGACCTTCCTCATTATTTTCCGTCTCATCAATCTTATTAACATGATCTATTATGTTTCTCATTCCATTCGTTTGAATAATATCATTATTCTTGCCAACTTTATTCTTTCTACGCTCAATAGAGTCATATTGAAGGTAATCTTTAATAGTGATTATGAAACATATTAAAAGGGTTATAAAGCTTTCTCTTTGTTTAGCATCATCAATGCTTATTCGAATGAATCTTGCCATGTTTAAGGCTGTAAGTTTTAAATTTGCCCATAAATTTTGTCCTTCCAAGTATCTGCATATATAAGAAAAATCTATTTTAATTTCATCATTTACAATTATTAGTAATAAACCATTATAAATACCTATTATACGCATTAGAAGTCCTAGCAGAGATCAAGAGAGATACGATAAAACTAATAAGGGTAATAAAGTCTTGTTTAAATGAAAGGTTGATATTTGTTGTCATATAAAGTGCTGTAATAATTGCCGCAAGGATCGAATTTATGATTGCATATAAAAATGAAATTTTAATTGCTGAAATTAAAAAAATTAATTTTTTTATTTTTTCTTTCATTACTTCTATAACTGAAAACTCAGAAGATTCCATTTTTCTTGAATGTAGAAATAAAAGGTTTAAAATTTGGAGATTTAAAATAATTTTTTGTATAAAAATAAGATAACCAACAATTTATAACAGAAATGAGAAATTACAGCAGTGTTTGGAGAAACAGAAGCGCCTTTTATTTTATTCTATTATTATAATTTTTTTTTTAATCGTTATCAGATGATTTATAGAATGCAATTGAATCTCTTTTGAAACAATATGTATGCACATAAATTTCTTAATTTGAATAAGACCCTTTATTTCTTTAAAGAGGATGCCAAGAAATAATTTTATCGGTACGTACATGATTATTACATTTTAGAAGTTTATCACTAAATTCGGATAAGTGTAGCTTCAGTTGTAGGTGTCAGAATTCTGCGTATTTTCTATTTTAGCATGTCATGTAGAGAAACAATAAATACATGCCTTATTTAGAAAATTCACACCTTTTTTATACGTATTTCGGGCGCTTGGTATACCAGGAACGTAGTGTATGGTTATATTACAAATTACGTACGTAAATGGCGTTAGTATTGGATAAATACATATGGCGAAGTAAAGGCGTGAATGCATATAGAAACTTCACATGTTACACTTTCACAGAACATGTGCGTACTTTCTTCTGTATCTGGAAACATATATATATATAAGCTTTTCTTGTGATTTATTCTATTGCACATACGTACATAATAAATTTTTTAAAACTCTAACAAATTATTAAAAGAACCAAAATACAGTACAGTGATACGTATAAGTACAATTACAAATGCTATAACTAATTATAGTCAAAGCATGTTTTTTAGAAATAAAAATCGGTGACCCGATGCAAATTTGCATACCCTATCACTAGATATTTAGCAATTTCATTTTTTTTATTTTTTTTTTTGTAGAATTTTTTATCGGGTTGATGAAATAATAATCAATGATCATCAAAGATGAGAGCGAAAGAATTTGTTAATTGCTTCCAAATGCATAACAATCACCGGATTATATTTCTTCAAAATTAACGAATATTAACAGGTTAAAAATGGATACGTAATTTTCTGAAAGCCATTTTTCCGAAAACCTATTAAAATTGGCTAACAACGTAGCTAATGTTAGTACGTAGCCAACTTGTTTGTATCCATTTAGAAAATGGCTTTCATAAGCTAGAAGTTATCAGGTTAGACCCAGAAGTGCAACTAATTGAAAAGTATTGCATGCATGATTTAATTTAGATAATCCGGTCTGATATACTGGGATAAGACTTTATTGATTTGCGAATATGTTACGTACGTAGATATGATTTATGCATAATACTGAAACGGATATGCTTCCAGAAATAGTAACAGATGTTACCATAGCCTGCAATTGGCTGGTGGTTTTCCGCCTGCATAATTCAATGGGATGTACATACGTACAGTGGGGTGATAAATCAAATAAGTAATCAAAACTATGTCAGGCATATTAGTAATTTTACTATGATTAGATTTTTATCAGTAAAGTTAAAAATGATCGATCGAACGATTTTATATAATTTTAATTATAAAGGAAAGCGCAAACTTTTAAATGATTCACACAAATATTGTGCTTATTTTTCAATTTCTTTCAATTGAAAACGTTGCGTCAGAACTACTTCAAAGTAACTATGTTTGATTTTTTCGCAAAGTTCTAATTAAAATTCGATCTTGGTATTTAAGATAAATTTTTATGATAATTTTTTCGTGCCAATTAACAAAATTTAAAACACTCTATAAGACAAATACCCAAACTTGCATATTAATAAAGAATCTTGAAACATAGCTT